GTGTTCCTGAATAAAGCCTCTTGCTGTTTGCATCTGACTTGTGGTCTCGGTGTGATCTCTGGGCAAGGGTCTCTCCAGAGGGAAGACTGCCTTCGGGGGTCTTTCATTATCAGGTGGCTGTTCAGACCTATGAATCCAGACATGGTCCTGGCAGCAGCTCAGGCCAGATGTCATCATGTCCCCTGGTGGCAGCAGAAGCCACACAGATCAACACGGCCCAGAGATGGCACAGCCCTTGGACACCAAAATGGTGTTTTTTAACCAGTGGGCTTTGGTTCCCTGTCTACCAGCAAGCAAGCTAGTCACATCTTCCGCAGAAGCCAGGAGTCACTTGGTACTTCGAATCCTGCTTCCCACAGCTCCTGGGTGTTTATTTTGACACTGTGTGCAGACCCGTGTGGCCTGTGTGGTGTGGTAGGGCTGGCCTCTCCGGCATGACAAATTAAATTGCCATTGGTCTTGTCTGTCCAGTGTTTGGACCATGTGTAAACCCAGGGCAGGAATCTACCCCTCACCAATGAGCAACAGGAAGTGATTAAAGCAGCCCTTTCTTGTAATATTCACTGCTCCCAGAGGGCAGGTGGCTGAGCCAGGGCAAATCCCGGCTGGATGCCGGCTCCCACAGGCTTCCTCTGGGGAGTGCCTCGAGATGATGCACAACCTACGTATCCACACATGGCAGCTGTTAGCATACTGGGTACTGAACTCTCACCGGAACGAAGATCAGTTGGGCCCACACCCAACTCTGGAAGGTAAGTGCCTTCCTCCATTTTATAGCTGAGGACTCAGTTGAGGACACAATGGGGAGTCTGAAGCCCTAATCTTGAGCTAGGGTCCTGAGTGAAGGTGTGGAGAGGACATCCAGCTTGGGCAGGATGGAGAAGATGCTGAGGAAGGGAAGTACTGGAGTGAGAGTTACCTCCAGCTAGAGGAGGCAGCCATGTAGCCGGCCGGCCCTGCTAGGGTGAGTCCTCCTGGTCATTCAAGGGCTTCCTCCTTCAGACTGAAGAAGGGGCCACTCCTTCCCAGGAGGCTTCCGCCAGCCAATGGCTCCAATGGTGGTGATGTTTCTAGGACCAGGTGCTTTCCATAATGACCACCTCTTGCTGGTTACCCTTGGCTGTGGATGATCTAGAAAAATCCAAAGAGAAAACATTGGCACATGGGAATATCAGGTCTGGTGGGAGTATGGCCTCTCTGATACCTGGGTTTTATTACCCCCTGTAAGCCCCATGCCTAGAACCATACCCGAAACACAGTAGGTACACAATGAAAATGAATTAAACTGAGTGTGGTGGTAAAAGTTTGTGATCTCATCAGCTAGGAGGCTGAGGGAGGAGAACTGACTGAAACTCAAGGTTAGGTTGACAGAAATCGTGAGCTCCAGGCCAGCCAGATCACACAGTGCAACTCTCACTCAAGAGACAAAAACAGTGGGCTGGAGAGACAGCTCAGCTCTTGAGAACACTGGCTGCTCTTGCGGAGGATCCAGGTTTGATTCCCAGCAGCCACATGTGATTACAACCACCCATAACTCAATGTTCCTAGGGAATCTGATGTCTCTTTCTGGTCTCCTTGGATACCAGGCATACATACATTGCACATACATAAATGTAAGCAGAATACTCATACATGTAAAATAAAAAAAATTACTACATAAATCTTTTTTTTTAAGATTTATTTATTTATTATGTATACAGCATGTATGACTGCAGGCCAGAAGAGGGCACCAGATCTCATTTCAGATGGTTGTGAGCCACCATGTGGTTGCTGGGAATTAAACTCAGGTCCTCTGGAAGAGCAGCAGTCAGTGCTCTTAACCTCTGAGCCATCTCTCCAGCCAAAATCTTTTTTTAAAACTCAGTCAATTAAATCAGCTTCCCTGCCTTTCAGCTGGGAGTCCTTAGATGAGTGACATACCCTTTCTGAGCTGCAATTCCCTCAACAGTGAGATTGGACAGCTATACTACGACTGCTTTGAAAGGATGCTAGAGACAATATGTGCCAAAAACAAAAACAAACAAAATGCCAGCGGTGGTGGCGCACACCTTTAATCCCAGCACTTCGGGAGGCAGAGCCAGGTGGATCTCTGTGAGTTCAATGCTAGCCTGGTCTACAGAGTGAGTTCCAGGACAGCCAGGGCTACACAGAGAAACCCTATCTGCAAAAATAAAAAGGCAATAAGTGGGCTGCAGATGCAGTTTAGAGATGAGATGCTGGTCTAGTACGAATGAGGGCAAGTGAGGGCGTGGCTTCCAGCCCGGGCACTGAGTAAAAAAGGGGAGGGGCTTACTAAGTAGCGAAGTGCCAGTTGCTTGACAACAACAGGAGAGCCCCCCCCCCCCCGGGGCCTGATCACCAGGATACAGGAGCCGCACACTGGAACTCCAGACAATCATTGAATCCTGAGGTTGAGTGTGAATGAAGCCAGTGCGCATGCGCTCTCTCTGTTTCTCTCTCTCTCTCTCTCTCTCTCTCTCTCTCTCTCTCTCTCTCTCTGTGTGTGTGTGTGTGTGTGTCTGTGTGTACACATGTATGAGCATGAGTGTGGAGGCCAGAGGTCAATCTTGAGTGTCATTCTTCAGGTGGTGGTTATTTTATTTTATTTTTTTATTTTGTTTTATTTTGTTTTTTTAATCTCACTGAATAGCCCTGCTGGCCTGGAACTCAGAGACCCACTCGCCTCTTCTTCAATCCCAGGGATTAAAGGCGTATGCCACCACATCCATCTACCTTGGTTTTTGAGACATGATCTCTCACTGGCTTGGAGCTTGCCAAGTGTGCCAGACTGGGTAGCTAGTGAGCCTTGGGATCTGCTTGTGTCTACCCTTTCGATGCTGGGATGATAAGGGCACATCAACACGCCTACTTTTTCCTCCCACGGGTTCTGGGGACTGAACTTAGGTCTTCGGCCTGGTAGGGTGAACCCTTCACTCATTGAGCTGTCTCCCCAGGCCTGCTTTGGTTTCCCCTCTAGACCCCATTCTACATCTGAGATGCTGGTTAGAGGAAGCAGTTGGGAGGTCTCCCTTCCTTCCCTGCTCAGGAGCATCAGGTCAGATGTCAGGATGGGTGACTGGAGTTCTACCAAAGCACGCAGCTCTTCTCCCTCTGAGCCAGGAATTCACAGGAACTCGGAGCCAGGACATCAGAGACCGTTGATGTCTTCCTGTGCCAGTTTTGGCAAGAGAGGTTCTGTAACTTGTCCACACAGGTGGGCATTCAGTCTGTGGCCCCATCCATACCATTTTCCTGCCTAAGCTACAGTCATCACCTCCCTGGGGGACCTTGGGACTGTAGCCTTGCTTCTCTGAGCCTTCCTCATCCTGGAGATGGAAACAGTCACCACCGTCACAGGGCAGTCACAGAACTTCAGTGGCTTCAGTGGCACAAGTCCTGGAAGTAGCTGTCTGTCCCTGCAGCCCCGAAAATCTCTCTTCAGTCCCAGCCCAGGTGACCCAGCCCAGGTGACCCAGCACACTCACCTGCCCTCCAAGTCCTGGATGGTGTCTGGGAGTGGGATTCCCTGGGTCTTCGGGAGGGAGACCAGGAGGACCAGGCTTGAGGCAATGGGAAAGCCCCATAGGTGAGTGGTGGTATCGGGGCAGCGCCTTGCTGGCCATCTTAATCAAGGGGCCTGTTATGGACCCTAGGCAGCCCACAGATTGCAGGACGCCATCTGCTGTCATCCTGTGGGAGGAGAGGAGACTCAGATATAGTTGCCACTGTGGCTGGAAGGTGGTATGTCAGGGCCCAGGGATTCAGGAGTGGGATAGCTGGGTACGAGTCACTGTCTCATCTCCAGAAGCAGCCACCTCCTCCATGGAACCCACCTTGGTTTCCCTGTGGATCTTCAAAGTAACTCTCTAGGGCCCTTAGCATCCTCTGTGTCTCTGGGCACCTGGGGGCAGCCTCAGTGTCTACCAGGCCACTCAGCTCCCAGCTCTGAGTCTCCATATTATAGGGGAGTCAACAGACACCATCAAAACACATTAGTGAAGGCCAGGCATGGTCAGAAAGCTGAGGCAGGAGGATTCCTGTGAGCGTGAGGCCAGCTTGGCCTCCACAGTGAGAGTTGGTCTCAAAACACCAAACCCAATGTCAAGCCTGGGTATCCTGGGGGGCGTTAAGGGGCCCTGCCAGTGCTCCCCACTGAACCTCTGGGGGCGTCCCGTCCCTGGCTCCATGACCACACCCACTCCTGAGGCCCCAACAGCACCTACCTCAGCTGAGTCGGGAAGAGCTCTGTCTTGTACACAGAGAGAGACGACAAACCCCGAAACAGCCTTTCCCCAGGATGGCCAGGGCCACACGCAGAGTCTGCAGGTCTGCAGGAACAACGGTGACGGTGAGGGCAAGTCGGCACTCCTGGGCAGAGCCAAGGCGGTGCCGGGCTACCTAGCACCAGGTGAGGGCACAGTGTGGCATGAGGTACCTGGCCAGGGGCCAGGGAAGAAAGACAGGTGTGTTGGGGTGGTCAAGCCTGGGGCAAATTCACAGTATTTCCATGACTGGGAGGCTATGTTATGGCAGGTCCATAGCAGGGCCCTGGGACGCCCAGGTGCCTGGAAGCCAAGGCTGGTTCACTCTCCGGCGAGTCTGGCTTGGACTTTGTCTCCCTGCACTGTCCTACCTGGTCTCACAGGGGCTGGAGGTGTGCCTCAGTGGTACAGCACTTACCCAGCCATCCTCACTCCGGGGGCGGGGAGTTTTTCGGCTGTCGCTGTCTTTGAGACAGGGTTTCTCCCTGCAGCACAGAGCTTTGCCTGCCTCTGCATTCTGAGTGTCTCCACTGCCTGGCTGGGAAAAGTCTTATAGAGGCCGTGGAGAGGGCTCAGTTTCATCCCGAAAGCATGAGGGCCTGAGCCGATCACACCCAAGTTCAAGGCTGGTGTGGTGGTGTAGATTATAATCTTAGTGCTGAGGAGGTAGAGACCTGTGGCTGCCGGGGGCTGGCTAGCTAGGAAGTCTAGCCTAAACACTGAATTCCAGTCCAGAGTCACTTCTGAGACAGAGAAACCCTGTCTCAAAAGATACGGACTGCTGGGCATGGTGGCCCACACCTTCAATCCAAGCACTCAGGAAGCAGAGGCAGGTGGATCTCTGTGAGTTTCAGGCCAGCCAAGGCTACATAATAAAATCTGTCTTTAAAAAAAAAAAAAAGATATGGATAACCTTTCTGGAATAAAATCTGAGGTTGACCTCTGATCTCTGAACAAGCTTACATGTGTGCACACACACGTACACATGGGGCAGAGAACCAAAAACTGGTCGTTTGAACAGGATGTTCCCTGTAAGTTTGAATGTTTATTCTCAGTTGGTGGCTCTTTGTGGAGAACTAGGAGGTGTGGCTTGCTGGAGGATTATGTCCCAGGGGTGGCCTTCCATCGCCATCCTGCGCCCTCCCTGCTTCCTGTGTGGTTGAGATGTGAGTCCTCGGTGCTCAGCTTGCCGCCTGCTGTCTCAGCTCCGCCCTCACGGACTGTGACCCTCTGTAACTATGAGCCACGGGAGCCCTTCCCTCTCAAAGTTGTCTTGGTTACGATGCTTTGTCACAGCAACACATAGGTCCCAGTCAAGCGTAGTCTCACCAAAAGACTTCAACTCTGAAGACTTCTCAGAGCTCTGCACACTGCCCTATTTTGGGGTGGGTGGAGGGGATTGCTGTGGCCCAGGGTCAGGCACAGGCCACCTTCTCCTCCACTCAGACCCTGCCAGCTGCCAGCAGGGGCGTCTCTCTGCATTCCTCCTGGCTATTACTGTAGTGCAGGACACAGGTCCCTTTCCCCAGTCCCCAGCTGAGCTTTGAGAGGGACAACGAGGGTATCAGGTCCATCCTGAAGAGAAAACCAGCTCCTGGTCCCCAGAGCCTCCCCAGCTCGGCGCATAGGAGAGACCAGCTGCATTCACAAGCAAGGAGCTGCTACCATGGCGGGTGCAGTGCAATACTTTTAATCCTAGCACTGGGGAGGAGAAGCCAGTGGAGCTCTAAGGGCCAGCCTGGTCTACATAGTAAGATTCAGGCCATCCAGAGCTATATAGTGAGACTGTCTCAGAGGACGGGGAAGAGGAGGAAGAGAAGAAGGAGGAAGAAGAGTAGCTGTTACCACTGCTGCCTGGTGTGGTGGTACAGGTCTGTGATCCCAGAAGCAGGCAAGTGGGGCAGGAGGACCATAAGTTCAAGGCGATCCAAGGCTACATGGGAGTCTGAGGTCAGCCTGAGCTATTTGAAGTCCTGTCTCCAAGCAACTGAAGCCAAAACAAGTGACAAGAAGAAACACCTGAACAGATGCATGTCTGAAAAAGCACGCACGCACGCACGCACGCACGCACGCACATACACACACACACACACACACACACA